GGCAGCTGCCCCGGAGCTGGCGCGGGGCAAAGTGGCGTTTGCCCGTGTCGCATCTGAGCGCAGCCGGGGCAAGCCCTGACGTGCCCTTCCCCGGGCGGGTTTAGGGCCACGCCACCTCGTTCTTCGGCCCCACGCTGGAGCGGTACTCCTCCTTCCAAGTGAACAGCAGTGACGACATCCGGCAGATCCAGAGCCTGGAGAACGGCGTCCTTTTCCTGACCAAAACCAACCTGAAGTACATGTCGCGAGGGGGCCTCATCATTTTTGACTACCTGTGAGTGCTTCCCCTGGCAGCAGGAGGTTTGTGCCACCCCTGTGCCGGGGAGATGCTCCCAGCCCCTCTGCTGGCGGCGTAAGGGGTAGATCTGGGAGGTGGCGAGCGCCGATCCGCCACCCCGTTCCGCGCTGCCTCCCCGAGCTGGGCGGGAGCGCGGGGGCTGCCCTCTCCCCTCTCCCGCAGGATGGACGAGTCCGAGGACATGCACAGTCTCCTGCTGACGGACAGCAGCACGCTGCTCGTCGGCGGGCTGCAGAACCACGTCGTCGAGATCGACCTCAGCACCGTCCAGGAGACGCAGAAGGTGCGGCCGGGCGGGGGGCTGCCCCCTGCTGCGGGGAGGTACTTTGTGCTGGGGCTCAGCCCCCCTCACCCGGCTCTTCTGCCTCCTTCCCAGTACACCGTGGAGGTTCCCGGCATCACCATCATGAGGCAATCAAACCGCTTCTTCTTCTGCGGGCACAGTTCGGGGAAGGTAATGCCAGCCGTGTCCTTCCTGGCAGCCCTGCTGGTGCTCGGCTTTCCTCTGGGATACCCTGGAGTTGGTGTCCAGCTTTTCCCAGAGCTCTGGGGGGTCCTGAGTAGCCACCCGCGTGGCACCCAGCGCCCCTGTCTTGCCCTCGCAGGTCTCCCTGCGCGATCTGCGCACGTTTGTGGCGGAGCACGAATTCGACGCCTCCTGGGGCAGCTTGTCTGATTTTGCCGTCCACGGGAACCTGCTGGTGACCTGCGGCTTCTCCAGCCGCATGAACGGCCTCGCCTGCGACCGCTTCCTGAAGGTGTACGACCTGCGCATGATGCGGGCCACCACCCCGCTGCAGGTCCACATCGACCCCTTCTTCCTCCGCTTCATCCCCACCTACCCCTCCCGCCTGGCCATCATCTCCCAGACGGGTGAGCGAAGCCGCGTTCCGCCCCCAGCCGGGCTCCGCTCCCCGGGGGCGACGGTCCCGGCACCCCCCAGGCTCAGGGTCGAATCCCAGCGGGACAGAGTTGGCCGCGGAAGCCAGACGTGTGCTGGGTCACCGTGTGCCACCCTGCCCGCCTGCTCCTGGTGCCACGTGGCTCTGCGCTTCCCTCCCGCACAGGTCAGTGCCAGTTCTGCGAGCCCACCGGCCTCGCCAACCCCGCCGATATCTTCCACGTGAACACCGTTGGGCCCCTCATCATGACCTTCGACGTCTCGGCCAGCAAGCAGGCGCTGGCCTTCGGCGACTCGGAGGGCTGCGTCCACCTCTGGGCCGACTCCCCGGAGGTCACCTTCAACGCCTACTCCCGCGAGACCGACTTCGCCTTGCCCTGCCTCGTGGACACGCTGCCCCACTTGGACTGGAACCAGGACCTCGTGCCGCTCTCGCTCATCCCCGTGCCGCTGACCAGCGACGCCCTGCTCTCCGACTGGCCCGCTGCCAACTCTGCCCCGGCACCCCGGTAATTTGCCAGTCTCTCCCAGCGAAAACCAGCACAGGAGAGCTGGTTGTGGAGAAGTTCATCTCCTCCCCTGGGTCTTGGGAGTGGGAGAGTGGCTCTGTTGCTCCCCCGTCTCGTGGCTGGCACTGCCCTTCCTCCTTGCGTGCCCCATGAAATGCAAGGCAGGCTCCCTGCGGTGGAGCGGAACCGCTGAGGTGCAGGGGCAGGTCTGGGGACGGCTGGGTACGGTCAAACCACCATCTTCCCAGTAGGGAGATCCTGATGGGATCTCAGCTGCCTTCTGCCTGGGTGGAAGCTTGTTTTCCCTCTGCCTGATCCCTGTCCCAAACACGCCTGCACTCAGCGCTGCTGCCATGTTCCGGCGTAGCCTGGCTGTTTTGTTGGCATGGGAAATGAACCTGGGGGAGACCCTCGTGACCCGCTGGTGGGTCCCTGAGCCCACCCAGCGAGGCCCTCGGTTCCGCGGTGCCGCCAAACAGAGCCGCGGCGCGTTTTGCAGGCGAGCCCCTCCGGTAGACCCTGAGATTCTGCGCACCATGAAGAAGGTGGGGTTCATTGGCTACGCCCCAAACCCACGGACCAAGCTCCGCAACCAGGTGCCCGCTCAGGAGGGGGTGGTGCGGGGAAGGGTACTGCCAGCAGCGGAGGTCTGCAGTTTGGGGAGGGGTGGAGCTCTCGCCGCGTGCTGAACCATCTCAGAGCTTTCCGCAGGGCTTGGGACAGGGCTGAGGGATGAAATTCTCCAGCCCGGGGCGTTGCAGGAGGCAGGTGGACAGTTTGGAGGCGACAGCTTTTCAGCGGCTGAGCCAGCCCTGGGGGAGGGCTGGAGTCTCCCCCCACCCCGGGCCACAATCCCAGGTTTACGGACAACTCGCTCTGTGGCAGGAAGGGTTTGAACTGTCCGGTTCGGAGGCTCATGGCACGTCCCCCGCCCTGGGAAAACACTGCTGTGTTTCGCCCTTGCCCGCAGCACCGCTGTAGTTTCCCACAGCGATAAGTCCCTTGCAGGAAGGCAGGCGTGGAGGCCTCGTGCAGGTTCAGGGAGGGCCCCGCTCCTTTCTGGTTTATTCCTTTGCTCATTCGGGGAGGCAGGAAAGCCCGGGAGCTGCTTGTTTCAGCGCATGGTGCTGCGCTCCACCGCAGGGCTCAGCCGCTCTTC